GATTAACGTACCCTATTCTAGTTGAAATTCTATTACTACACTATGTTTGTTTTGATTCGCTATGAAAGTTTGACAGATAACATCAGGGGTGTGTGGATTCATGCAGAACATGCAGGGGTGAGTGAAATAGCTTGGGACTGCTTGGGACGGTTGTTCTGGTACTGAGTGAGCCAAAAATAATAATGATTTTCTTCGGGACCCAGTGGTCTTAGAGTTACCTCTATGGTATTGCCACCACCGTCCGTTACCGTATCGACCGAAATTTTGAAATTGATCTCGGCCTCATAGTTGGAAGTAGCACTATCTCCAACAATCGAGAACTGTCCTGGCCACGGCCTTGCAACTGCTGGAAATGGGAAGGATTGTTAGTTGGACACTTACTTAAGAGAAATGCAGAGAACTCTATGACCTCTCATAAGTGTTACAGGAGTTTTGAAGGATTGTAAGTGGGGAGGGTTAATCCATTGGATACATTGCTGGCAGATATATAACAGCAATGGAGATAGAATAAGGCTTAGTTTAAAATTGCAGGAAAGGGAAGGACCTGGAAATGAAAAACCCGACCTTGTGCTCAGTTAGCAGAATTGGTAACCACTAAGCTACCGAGAACGTCCTACTGTCAAATTTTCAAAATACTTAAAAATTAAAAAAAAAATAATAATGCACCAAAACTTTTGGTAAATGTTTGGAACTTTTTGTTCTGATTTTTTGAACAGAAAACGACTTTCAATCTATGAAATGGTTTTGTCTGTAGATTTTTTTAATAAATTGTTTGAATAAAAAGTTCAAAATTTGTTCAAAAGATGTTGTACTGCGATTATTATAAATCTTTTAAGTGTCTTCTCCTTTTTTCTATTCGCAGTGACATCTGTCACTGCAGTAAATAAAGGCTAATTGTTTCTTAAGTGTCCAACATGAAATTTCACAGAACATAGCATGTTTCATTTTTTTAATGAAAAATATTCAACAAATTTGTATTTTTGTTTTATTTAAGTTTTAAACGCTTTTTTTTATTTTGTTTTGAAAATTACTGGTTATTTTTTAACATGTATATTTTTTCTAAAAAGGAATTATTTGTCCTACAACTTGATCTTAAATTAATCTAATATTCCATCTGAGAAGGTCGAATCTGGTCGATTCGTCATTTGGCGTCGAACTGCTCTACGTTTTTATTTTCAAAAATAAGAAAGTAAGTATTTAAATTTGTAGTTAGGGTGGCCCTCTTAAATCATCTTTTGTCTGTATTTTTTTGTATCAAATTTATCTTATTTCAAAGTCATCTTCGAGAGTCCTTCTCAAGACGCATAATTTCGTGTTTATCTTTGTTATAAAGAAGTTACAATGACAAGTATATCAATATTATAAGGTTAAATTGATTTTATATAAATTGAACAAAAATTATATCTCTAATTTTTTTCATATAGTGTACATAAAGTTGTATCCTTTCAAACAGGGCCGTCATCAATGCTCGCAATGCGCTGATTTTCTGAAATTCACTAAGTTAGGGTTAACTACCCCATGTCCGGCCTATTAAACACAACCCGCACTTAGCACCAAACGGAATTATTACTGATGGCTTCTAAATTTATTTACCTTTCCGTGCGTACCGTAAGATTTGACAAAGATAAACCAATCGTTGAGATATTGTCAAAAGTCTAACACTGCTTCTTGACGCCAAACTCGGCCTAACGCATTGAAACGCCATTGAAACGGCAATGAATTCACTTCGGCCTATCGGATTAAGATAAAATTGATTCGGTCGGAGCGTTTTTTGTTTTTGGGAATAATGGGTGCAAACATTCATATCACGCGTTCTCATTGACTTTGTTCCGTAGCTTATTAACTAAAGTATCTAACCAAACGCATAATTGACTTGTTAACTCTGAAATCATGGATTAATTTGAAGTTTTCTGCTAGACAACATTAGTCTTTGTTGTGCACTTCTTCATTTGCTATGCATGTTATTGTGGTGAAAGAACTCAAAAAAGAGTGTTTAGCTGCTTGTTGTATTTTATTCGCTCCTTGAGCCGCACCGAGTGTACCGCTCATTGTGTGGATCGCTTTCTCAAAGATAAGTTGGAAAAGAGTGTGCGAAGCAAATGGGAGAACCACACTCTCTTTGTCGAGTGTTGTGCGATACATGCACAAAGTTGCTTTGCAAACGCTCTGAGGGGCTTTACAGCCCTGCTTACAAACGCTAACTTTGAAATTTGTGTTTATAAGCCCCTTGCTGAGTGATTCACATTTGAAAAAGGCGTATTTCATGAAGATCTCGTGATCTCGATTTACGTTTATTATCGCAAGATATCGATTTACATTATTCGGCAAAAAATGGTAAAAGTTATTTAAAGACGACTTTTACGATACATTTCTAAAAAAAAGATTTAGAGCTGAAAACATATATGTTTAAGGTACCGTAAATGAGGGTGACATTGGGCAAAACAAACAATATTTTTCGTCCCTTCCTTACAACAGTCACATTTTAGCAAGGAAAACAATTTTAAATACCGTAAAACAGGGCATCTTTGATAATGCGGGTACCTTTGATAGTATAATGTAAAGATTAAATTTACTCACTGCGCTTTTTCCCAATTCGAAATATTGGTTCCATATTGTAGCTTAGGGTATTTCCGTTGATATCATATATAGTTTTTTTATAGTATGTGTTACATACTTTACAAACATATTAAAAAAAAAACAATTTTCGCTTTTTCCACTTGTTGAAAAAGCACTCAAACCATCACTTATGAAATGTATTTCCGATATAGCCATCACAAATTCAATGTTGTATTTTTATTGCTTATGATATTTTCTGAGTATATACTCATTCTAAGTTACATGTTTAAAGAACTAAATTGATTGAGTCTCACCCATTTTTTTCTACATTCATCGAGCATTATCAAAGTAACCCCAAATCGAAAAAACTGAAGTTCGGTCACAAAACTAAAAAAATAGTGCAAATACTGTAATTTCCGTTAGACATATTACTAACGAATTGCTTCTTTTATCCTCAAACCTTGTTTTAAAAATATAAAATTTAAAAAAAAACATTCATTGCTGTAAACATTATTTAGAATATACTTTAAAAAACAATCAATGTTACCCCGTTTTACGGTATGTCAATATATTCATCAATTATATATTTACGACTGTCATGGAACGACTGAATGAAATTGCTGTCATTTTACTAAAATAAATTAAAAATAGACCAATGTAAAACCTTATGGGGGTGACATTGGGCCAAAACATAAATTTGGTTAAAATATCATAAAATGTGTCAACTTAACGTAGCTATTTATTACGAGTACACTTGGTTATGATCACAATGTACTTCGTATGTATGGCTAAATATCGTGTGTATCCTCGTCTGTCCACATAAAAGTGTGTACCTGTGGACATTTTTAAAAACTTGTTTTGCTACTATTTATGATACTTAACTTTGCTACAGGAGTTCAAGAAATATATTCTAGCAATAATTTTCTGTATATTCAAGATATTTGCATCAAAAAACATTTTTCAATTGTGGCCCAATGTCATTTCTTGAAAATTACTCTATAATGGCTAAATTACTTGAAATTAACTCAGCTACAACTTTGCTCAAGATCATATGTCTTTATTATCGAACATAAGAAAGTAAGTTTTTGAAAAACAATTAATTTGAGGACCACCCTTATGTTTACAATCACCAAAAGAAGGGACTTTTTAAGCACAAAAAATTTCATGTAAGATACCAAACGCCTAAGCAAAAGTGCTAGAACTACTATCCTGCTAAATTTCCACCCGAACCTCTGTGCATTAGACAGAAATAAAAATGCATCTTTATTAGGGAAATGCGACCCAAAACTAGAAAAATGTATGGATGTAAGTTAACCAGTGGCGTCCCGTAACCTCACTTTTTACCTGTGCACCAACTTTCAAAACAAGATTTAATGCCATATTCACACTCAAATCGGTTGAAAAATAAACTTAATTTTCTAGTTTACTCGATATCTATCAATTGCAAGCAATATTTTGATAATTGTTTATGTTTTGAGAGTTGGTGCACAGCAGTGTTGGGAAAATATCAAAAAATCAAATCTCACTAATGCCCCAAGACGCTTGATCTTCGTAGACAGAAATCAACAAGAAAAAAACTGTGGTTGATTTGGTAAGCTGTGATATCGCAGCTCGGAATATCAAGCTAACAAAACTCACCAGCTGCAAACAGGCTTGCAATTGCTCATTACAGCTAAAATGTAACGATGAGCAACGCGATGAGCGAGCAAACAGCGATCATAAAATCGCTAGTTGTGACCTTCTGAAAGCAAAATGGACAAATTTTATATGTCATACACAAACTTTACCACCTCTTCTTGCATCTTACAAATAAAAATTATCATTATAATATCTCATTGTTTCATAATTACGAAAAATAGCATTTTAGCTGTAATGTTTTTTTTTAAAGCTTTATTAAAGAGATTTTTAGCCTTAGGCTAGTTCATCTCTAATTTAGCTGTAATGAGCAATTACAAGCCTGGCTGCAAATATCAACAAACTGTGGTGAGATTGAGTTTCATGATGTTTACTTTACACCCGAACGCAACTGAAACTTTCATAACGGCTGGCAGCAGTCACTTCGTGTCTACCATCGGTGAAGAATAAAAAGAGATAGCAAGCTATACTTTCTTTTTCTAAGAAAACGATGTGCAACGGAATCATTTTTCTGTCGAGTCAACTCTCAACTTGATTTTTGCACGTTGTGAATAGTCTCGCAATATCAAAGGAGCTTGTAAAATCAATATCAAGCATGATATTTTGTTCCAATATCACGCGTGATATTGAGAGCGTATGAGAGCGGAAAAATATCATTTGATTGATGATTTTGCCAACACTGGTGCACAGGTAGATTGAGGTTAAGGAAACGCCACTAAAGTTAACCGAAAAAAAAAACATTGCAATTAGGTTCTGACTGATTCCTCAACATATGGCTGTACGATTTTTCACACTTCTTTTTCCAACAGTGCCGAGTGATCGTAGCCCAGATGACCGACACGAGAGCGGATCTGTGGAACGGACTGCTCAATCTGCTGACGGCAGCTACTGCCGTTTGCATCTTTCCCTACACGGCCGTGGGACTGCCCGAACTCTGGATCGAGTACGAACGGAACATCCTGTACGCACTGGTGCTGGTCGTCACGATCGCCCACCTGCACTACGGCCAGGGAGTGGTACGGGAAATGTGTTCCCATTTCCGGATCCGGTGTTTCAAAGTAAGACCTACGATGACCCACGCTACGCTAGATACTAATAAAAATGGCAACCACTCTAACCATAACCCCGCTGAAAACGGTCACCCGGACCGGAAGAAGCGATCGTAGAACTTATAACTCTGAGGCGAAACAAGCTAACACCAAGGCTGACCAAACCCAATCGATTGCTGTTGTGTTGTTTGTTGTACTTTGTGGCGGCTAGTGATTTTCTCAATAAAAGATCATAACTTACCATAGTCGGTTGTTTATCCATTGCGGCTACTAACTTGTTTCCTCCTTACCCACCCCATCCAGCATGCATTTAGATAGTACAGAGAGGTATCGTTATTTGCGAATGGAGTTTTAGTCGATATTCCTTTTCCATAATTGCTAGCTGCCTGATCTTTGGTAGTAATAACACAGGCTAAAATTCCATTCGCAAACAACGGCGCTTCGCCGTAGTTACTGTAGTGTAGCTTTTACCAGGTATTGCCTATCTGAAGGCGATTCCCCAATGCCGGTGGACGGCGCAGCAGTCAAAATAACAAACTTTGTTTTTACTTTCAATCATGCGCGATAACTCATTCATTCCACCACCACAAACCAGATACCAGCATACGGTAAATCATCAGCATTACTAGGCCACTAAAACTCGAATCTCAAATCCTACATTGACGCGTTCGTCCGAACGTCACGATGGTATACCTACCGCGTTACGCCCACCACCGTCACGTCCGTCGTCACAAGGTAAATGTATGTATAGACCAACTGCATGCATGCGAACGAAAAGCGGATCTCAAATATCACCATCACTAAAAGCAAATTTGAGAGCGTACTTTTCGATTGAACATAAACCTACTACTACAACTACTACCATCATCATCGCCCACCACAACCGAAAAAAAAGCTAAAAATTGTGAGTGCAAATGCTGCTTTCCGAGAGACGTTGTGCGGGAGAGTAATATTTGCAACATGCTTCGTTTTTTTTCGCACGACAGATAACAACACCTGCTACTGCTGCTGCTGTAGCTACTACCAACGGAGGACCTACTAACGACGAAATGGTTGAGATTGCACTGTAGAAACGCGAAGCGAAGAGTACGCTGAAGGCACGTGGTGCATTGAGTACAGCGCGAAATGAGATTACTTAAATTTGTATATACTAGTAGAACATGTAATAAATTTAATTGCAGTGAGAAATGCTTGTTCGCAGAAAGAAATTCCGTTGAATGAGCAAGCAAAAGGCAAACAAATGGTGTTACGCACTGTGCAAATTGATTTCAATGGTTAAAAGATGCTTGATATAGCTTCGGAACGTGTTTGCATCGATTTTGATGAGAGATGGCAGTATCTTGACGGTGCTAGCTAAACCTTTTGAGAAGATTATTATTTTTCGATTGTTTAAAAAAAGATGAAGGTGCTAGCTAAACCTTTTGACGAGATTATTTTGCCAATAAGTGATTTAAAAAATTAACTTCAGTAAATGATATTCGGATACAAAAATAGTCAGAAAGTGATCTTCCTGAGGAAGTTGGACGAAAACTTCGGAATAAGTCAGAAGAAACTTCTAGTAAAGTTACAAGAAACCGGAAAAGGGAAGAATCTTCCAGAAGAAGTTGAAAGATTCTGAGCGAAGAAAATTTCAGGAAATTTCAGATAAAACTTTGGGGGAAAGTAAAAAACCGAAAAATTTTTTGAGAGGTAGTTTTAAGACACTTCCGGAAAAAATGGAAAACACACTGTGACAAAGTTGCAATAAACATCCAAGGAAAGGCATAGTTCCAGGGAAAGCTGGAAGAGGCCAGGAGAAGTCGGAAGTAACCTACTTGAAACAAACTTCTAGGGAAACTCCTTATGGACGTTGAACGAAACATCTAGCTAGACAGTTTCAGCGTGCATGGTGACCAGTGATTTCCAATTAGCAAATTCCCGGTTTTTCCCCGATTCGTTCCCGGAGTCTTGGAAATTTTCCCGGTTGTGCGATATACATTTAAATTAAGTATAAAACCGATAGCTGAAGGGATCACTAGGTTAAATGAGTCATTACTAGTCCAGATTATTCTAAAATAAGTTTGAAAATTATCTCTGGTAGTTCCTAAAAATATGTGTAACAGTTCAGAAATTCGACTCCCTTGGTATTTTTCACGGATTTTGGGATCGTCTTCACAATACCTAGGTATTATCTTTGACATTCATTCTAAAATCTCCTCAAGATTCCTTCAACAACAAAATTCCTTCGAAAAGTCTAGTCCAAGAATCTTAAAAAAATATAATACAATTTTTTTTTTTCGAAAAAAAAAAGGTTTAGTCATCGATCGATCATAATTTAGAGTAGGATGAGAGTTTATTTTAGTAGATTGACACTTCAGTACCCACTAGCCAATGGTCGGGAATGGTTTGTTGGGATACACAAAATTTAATCTGTTAAATGTTTGTATTATTGTAAATAAATAACAAAAAGCAATGGGAGCGCAAGTCAATCCAAAGCCGAGGATAAAGGAAAGGTAATGGCTGAATAGTCTATGCGGACCACTTGAACGCCATGGGAGGGGATTGGAGAGGTCGGTTATAGGGGGGGGGGGGGGGGGAGTTTTGAGGAAATGACGCTTAGTACTAGATTTGTGCAGCAAAATGTAAAGAAATCGAAAATTCATCGTCCCATCTCCCTATACGTAAGCGTACTACGACGCGGCTCTTAAAAAAAGGAGTAACAGGTGTGATAATATCACTTCAGGCTAGAACTTTGGTTTTCTCATGCAATGGTTCATCAGAGAGGGGAAACTCAGTAATCCTCATCGCATGCTCATGACGCTATTCTGCCACGGCATGAGCCAACGATGCCAGACCTAAACCAACCGTCTCCAACGCTCGACCATAAAGCATAAGATTAGGCCCGCCCACCAACGTCCAGGTTAAAAACTAGCCAAGGAGAGGGATCACTGGTTTTTTTTCCGGTTGTCCAACAGAGTTTTTGATTGAAATACTAGTAGCTTCTTCTTCTTTTGGCTTTATTACGTCTCTCAATTAAGTGTTCTTTGAGCACTTCCAAAGTTGTTAATGGCCAGGTCCATTTTTGCATTAGTATAATTGTGTAGCATGCACAATAGACTGATGCAAAATTTGAAATTTTCGCTCCACAGTGCTTAAACAGTTCCAAATTGGGTCCTGATTAGCCTACCAAAATTTAAACTCATTTGGTAAGAAACTGACTTGGCACAAACTATTCGAAGTTTATATGGAAATTACTATGGGTAAACCAAACTTTTTGTTCATTGTCCTCTATCCATTTTCCATATTGCTTTTTCGAAAATTTCTATAACTATTCTTACGGGAAATTTTCTAACCTACAACTTTGCGCAATATTGTTTTTCAGCAAAATGTCAAATTAAATTGTTATTAATTGTTTAATTTTTTTTTATATCTTTATTAAGGAGACTTTCAGCCGTTGGCTGGCTCGTCTCCGATTAATTGTTTAAGAGAGTGATAATCTTATGGCATGATCAAGCAGCTGTTCTGTGGGCAACACTGTATTCTGCAGTGTGACATAGTAGCTATGATATTTGTGCTCTATTCTCCGCACCAGAAACACCAATGTTGCCTGCTGAACAGATGAATGAGCATAATCATAAGACATCAGTGACTTGAATCATTAATAACTTTTGTTCCTTACATTTGATTGAAAAGTGGTTTTCAACAAAGTTGTAGCTGAGAAAATTTGCTATAGTTATAGCTTTCATTTTTAAAAGCATAGTGATGTGGTGAATTGTTAGATAGATATGAACAAAAACATAAGTTTTCCCATGGTAATTCCCATATAAACTTGAAATGGTTTGTGCCAAGTCAGTTTCTTACTAAATTAGTTTAAATTTTGGGAGACTAATCAGGACCCGATTTGGAACCGTTTGAGCACTGTGGAGCGAAAATGTCAAAATTTGCATCAGTCTAATGCACAATCATACTCTATACCCAGGGAAGTCGAGATATCTTCCAACCCTAAAAATTCCCAGACTGCACCGAGAGGCACCGATGAAGTCTTTTGAAACAGTGATAAAAATACCCCAAGTAAAATTTCCTGTGTTCTATCGAGGTTTTACAAGCTCTACACACTAAGAATATTTCACAGACTTCTGTGAGATTTTACAAACATTGACAGTTGTCCTGGAATTTTTCACAGAATGTGTGAAAAAATACAGGAAATCTGTCAAAAATCACTGAACTGTTTACCGAACGTTTAGCTGTTGAGCTTTATTATTTCGAATATCTTTTGACCCTTAGGAATGCAGTCTTTAGATGTGAGATCAAAATACGTAGTTTTCAAGGGAATTTATAGGAGAAATCCGAGAAATATCACAGCAAATTCATAGAAGAATTCTTGACAAATTTTGAGAAGAATCTCTACGGAAATTTGAGAAAAAAATCAAATAAATTTCGACTTCTTTTGGATTTTGCATTCTTCCGGGACACTCTTCCGGTCAACCGAGGTATACAATTCCTGCCCAAGAATTTGATCGAAAACTGTCAGGAGTGGAAACACCAGGATTTTCGTTCGAGCGTGCAGGATCGGATCGCTACGTGCTTGCTCCGCTGAAGCCATGATGTAACCAAATGACCTTATCCTGACAACCAATGCCTACTGTGATTCTGTATACTCTTAGCTTGATTTAGTGAAATTCAGAAAAAAAATACTCAAAAAATGCCTTTTTTTTCCTCTGTTCGGGACCTTACGCCACTGCGACCAGTAATTTGATCAATTGTAGTATATCCCGTGTCCTTAGTTTAGTGCATGTCGTATTACTCCATCACTATTGAGAAATGATGAAGTATTCGATTTGTACAGTTGTCATTCTTGCATTTATCGCAAGGATCCGACTGTAATGTAGTAGTAAAATTTACGTTTATTTTCTGGGTTTTATGTTTCAACATTTGATTTAACATTTCAATTGGTTAGCCTTTGGCTCTTCATCTTTGTTCTAGTTAATTGGTTATTCTAATGTGATGATTGCGTTTAGCGCTAATTTACAGGATACCCTTTGTGGGATTGTTTTGGTTTGAATTTAAAAATTTGATAACCTACCTACTTGAGCACCTAACTACTTATACTATATAAAACAGCAAAAGGGTTTATCTTCCATTTAATTCCACTTAATTAATTTTTGTATCCATGACAGATACGTATTTCGACTACAATGTGCAGTCTTCATCAGTGTCATTCCCACTAAAGAACTTATCAAAATCTAACCCCCTTAAGTACTCATCCCCTAGGTAAAAAAGTCAAGATCATAGGTATAAAAATGAAACTACAATGTGTTGAATCGGAACCTACCTAACTAATAAAAACCAAAGATTTAAGTAAGCTAAAGGAGAAAAATCTATACAAATCTCTAATAAGGAAAATCCCCAAAGGCTTGGTAGCCATCATAATGAAGTAATGAAATTGGGTTGTTAGCGTTATTAGAGATTTGTATAGATTTTTCTCCTTTAGCTTACTTAAATCTTTGGTTTTTATTAGTTAGGTAGGTTCCGATTCAACACATTGTAGTTTCATTTTTATACCTATGATCTTGACTTTTTTACCTAGGGGATGAGTACTTAAGGGGGTTAGATTTTGATAAGTTCTTTAGTGGGAATGACACTGATGAAGACTGCACATTGTAGTCGAAATACGTATCTGTCATGGATACAAAAATTAATTAAGTGGAATTAAATGGAAGATAAACCCTTTTGCTGTTTTATTTAGCATTCCGCTAACAACCCAATTTCATTACTTCAATACTTATACTAGGTTGCCAAATCACGAATGATCTGGTGGTTTGATCGCAGACAGGCGACTCTGAACCTTTCCAGCGTGGAAGTCTTTCGCTCCTCGAGTGTTTGAAGACCGGCCAGGTGGTGAATCTCAGAATTACGAGTTCGCGGTGAACTGTTAAGGATCATTCTGAGGATCTTGTTATGGATCCTCTGAAGCTTTAAGTGGTGGCACTTAGCACAACTCTCCCAGATTGGCATACCATACTCAATAGCCGGCAGAATGATTTGCTTGTGGACAGCAAGCTTGTTTTTGAGGGACAGGGTGGACTTCCTGTTTATC